GTTTTCTATTGTTTAATTAACACTATTTTGTAGTAAATAATGGAAAGTGTTGCACACATTTAATGTTTGTACTCTAGTATCTATTGTAGGCTTATCATATTATCAGGCTCTCTCGCTCCGCCCAAAACCCCTTCGAGACATATATCTCTATCTCTATATCTATATCACTTGTTTATTCCTCCAACATGGCCGCATGAAAGTCATGTGCAGTGTGAATGGTTGAAAACGAGCAATATGCTGATGTCTTCGTATGAATCTAGGCTTTTAGCTGTATTTGTGGTGTATGACAACCACTGCCGAATCAATTGCGTGTCAGCCTCCATCCTTTTTTTAAGGTTTTTTTATCAATTTGCATCCAATTAGTTTTCCGGGCGGGGTTCTCTGACAAATTTCTATTAAAATTGGTAATCAACAGTATGAGGTCTTCAAACAAATGAGGTAAAACTCATAAATTCCTGAAAATCGATCATTATGATTCTCAGATGCTGTGCAGGYGACGTAATTTTAGCTTATTAGAATCAATATCATTGCTATAATATTTTCTTACTCACTTAATTGTCCGGCGTTGCAAAGATATATTTTAATTGACTATTTGAAGTGCTCCATCTGCTTGACGAGTGAATTCAGTAACTAATTCGCTAATTTGSATCAAAAACGATTCGTTTATCAGGAAAGTTTATGTAGAAGTCTATAGCTTTCTCTACAAAGTATCTCTGATGACCATTACCGAGGAAAGTGACCCATTTAAAGGTGACATTTTCAGCTTTTGACATTTATAATAATAATGGTAAATTTGTGCAGTACAGTCGTTAATGAAAAAGGCCGTCAGATGCGCAGTTTAGAGTGGCTATTGCTTGAGGATGGTCCATGTTTTAAATGTTGCTGTAACCGAATTTGGTTCAACTTTTCATTAGTACCATTTTGCAGTATTCGTTCTTTAGCGACGGCGCCTTAAACTCAGTGTCGATGTTATAAGTTAAATTCCGTAAATTTCGACTCGGTTACGCAAGTACTGCGGGGCCAATCTTGATTTTAAAGACAATCTATCAAGAACAAAATCTGGTCGAAAATCACCCTGATCAAAGTGTATGTTCAAAGTTATAAAACTTGCTGTATTTTGGCATTGTTATTTTGTTCGCATTCTCTATATACAGATTAATCAGAAGCTGGCCAGTACATTTTTCATATTTGCCTCTTTCCGGTTCTCACAAATAACCACTGCTCGTGTTATAAACTTGTTACATAAAAATGTACAAAAAATTTTTTAATCGTTTTTCCTTTTCTTTCGTTTGCTTTTGTTATTGTTGTTGTTGTTGTTGTTATTTTTTTGTTTTTATTGTATTTGCAAATTTTCTCAACGCAATATTTCCTAGCCATATCACGAGCGTCAAAAACAATTTAATATGAAACTGCAATAATTCAGTAGGTAAAGTTACATTCACACGAAGAAAAAGGACAATATAAGAGACAACATAGGATGTTTTTTTTTAATTTTTAATTTTTCATTAAATTTCAGGTAATAGGACTTATTCACGTCGCATATTGTAGAGATTGGGCTACCTGTGCTTTAAACAGTTCAGAACAAAGCTCAGTTTTCTGTATTTCTTACCACTGTGTGTCTTCCTTAATAACTTCTGCATAATGATAATTGTCGTATCCGAAGCATTTTTGACAACGCTTTCCAATTTTTTCAGGTCTTCTACGGCATTTCGTGATACTTTCGCCGCTCGTTATGTAGTTTTTTTTTTGTGTGTGTGTGAAATTATATGAGATGAACAAATAAATTTCTTGCTCCTTCCCCGTTGCGACAGTATTTGCCTTTTCCATAATCAATACAGCAAAAGAATGAAAAGTAAACTCGCACATTAAACTGAGGAAAAAGAGATTTTAACGGATTTGCTCGTTTTTTCTCTGACCCCGACTTAACATTCGCCTCCGTGCGCAGATTTGTGGGAAGTATCCAGGGAGGTCCATAGAAACCGGCGTATAGCTTATGTACGGACAAGGCCCTATAGACCATGGTGTCATTTTTAAATTGGCTATGACGTCTTACAAAAAAATTGATGATTTCCTGTGAAAAATCTGGCATGCCAACAGGCGCGTAGCGTGGAGTTTTTGGCTAGTACGCACAAGTCATGGACGGTGACACATATTTTGGATCTGGGCGTCTACCGACCGAAAAGGCGGGAGTGTTAAGGGAGTCTGGATCACCCCAAGGAAATTTTGAAATAATAAACACCCTTGGAAATGTGATTTCCAGCGTTTTGAGAGACATCGAGGGCATATAAAAGGAATCAATTTCATGCGAATTTTTCAGTAATTTTTGTGAAAATTTTAATATTTCCTTGCCACTAGTATAGTACGCATGCACGTGCGTATATGCGTAAAGGACGCTACGCGCCTGGCCAATGAGTAACTGTTCAGAAGGACTAAAACATAATAAATATGTACACCTTTTTAATATTTCATTGATTTTTGATAATTTTGTTATCGGGAACCAGGACAGGAACATTATGATCTCAAAAACCAAAGTGATTCCTGGTCTGGTTTTCATCTTTAGAACAAAAAGTGGATTCACACGCGTAGTTATAAAACAAACGTTTGAATCCAAAACTGGGATATCACAGCTGGGTCATGGTAAAAAGACAGGGACGAAGTCAGTTTACGAATGAAATCATGAAATTGGTACGGCTGATTTTTAATCGAGTAGTACGTCACATTTTTCTTTCTAAATTTTTCTTTTATTTTTCAAATACTTTACTTGCCGTTACAAACTAATGACATCTTTTTGCAGTTCACGTTGCTTTTAATTATCTATAGCCCCTGGGTTTCTCAATTCTGCTCCTTGGATTTTTTAGCTTGAAAATTCGAGTCAGTTTTGCTTGGATTGCGTTTCCAAAAATTTCTGATAGCATTTTTTTTGTTTTGGAAATGTGAAGCTTGAGTTTCCATGGTACTCTGCAAAAAAGGTGTAAGGTTCATTTATTATAGGAGATCGTCCTGATTATTGTTGATTATCACATGATTATCGCTTTTAATTTACATTACTGCCTGACTATAGTTCAGATTTCTAAAACTACGGCACTTCTATACGAGCTGTGGCTGTGCTGAATAGTACTCCTTTTTTCACACTGCTCCCGAGGCATCATCTTGAAAGTTAGCCGTGCCTTTGTACGAAATGACACGACCGTTGAGCGTACAACTAGAAATTTTTCTTTCACACAATATTCACAATATGTATCATTGCACACTCAATGCTCGCCTCGTTTGATGTCAAGGCATGGCTACCTTTCAAGATAGCGCAGGGAACTGAATTGTTTTAATTAAATTAATATTGTCTAGATGCATACACAAAGACAACATAGGTCTCCGTGGCCGCTGAACAGAGTTCTCAATTCAAAGTTCTTTGGTTTGGACGTCAATTACTTATTAGTAATACCAGCACGATTCAGTGATCTTCAGCTTTGTCACGTGTTATCCTTGCCGGACCTTACTATCTATACTATAATCTTTACCTTTTCCATGAGTTTTCTGATGTTTGCAAGCTCTTCTCTTAGTTGGGAAATGATGCTATGATTCAAATGATAACAACATACAGAAGWTAGCTTGATACGTTTAAAACTGAACTCTTTCATTATGGTTCTYGACGAAAGTGAAAACTGGAAATGATGTTGAGGGTCACTTGCTGTTTTGCTAATTAGCGRATATAAAGCTTATGTCGTCAATCAATTGAGCTTCTAAATCATCCTCTCTCCTTTTTTTTTCGATTAATTTTAAAAGAATCCACCATCTTGATACTCTTAATAATACCATGATGCCGCTTCGTCAAAGCAAATATGACGTCATAGGGATAGGGTTAGGGTTAGGCTTTTGGTAAGTCTGCAAATCTTTGTTAAAAGTGTGGAATCTGCCATCTATGGCGCAATTTTTTATTGCATTTCTCGCGGCATTTATTGCATCCAATGAAATGTTGTATATGTAACTGTAATATTTAACCTAAGTGGCGATGTTCGTATATTAGCATGTCATAGCATGCACTACGTATTAGTTAAACTATTTCAAGTACACTATTGAGACGGAGGAACATTATTTTCCATTATCAACAATTTCCATTAAAATATATTGTAAACTGAACAGCCATTCAATGGGCAATTAAAGGGAATTCATTAATTTGTAAATTTGCAAACCTAGAAAACAGTTTGAATTAAAAAAAACTTGTGTATAAAAAGGTTTTCTTTCCGATAAACTGTAGTTAGTGAAGATACAGCACAAGGAAAGTTTTTGCCCATGTTTTTTAGGCTTCGCATCATCAATCGAAACGTAACAATGAAATTGTCCATTAGACAGTTAAAATAAAGATCGCCAGTCTTTGTTTTTAGGCTCTTGTTTTTGTAATGCCATTAGTCCATATTCCACTATCATTTGATTTTATAACACCTCAGAACGTTTAAATCCCAAATCCTCTTTATGAGTTCAATGTTTTTGCAGTGTGATTAAGGCTTATAGTATCATTCAGTACAGATTATAACGATCTTTTCTTGATTATAGKAACAAAAGTTAATTTTTGTCAATCCTTTCAATTTGAGTTTGAAATAAGGCTAAAATGAATGTAAGATTTCCGGATTTTGTTTTCGATCAAAACTCGCGTTCCAAGATCAGATCTGAATTCATACTCGAATCCTTATTATTAAGAAAACCGTGTGAGATGCCTCGAATCCATTAAGTAATCATAGTTMAGCGTCTGAGTACCCTTGAGAGGTATTAGAAGTTTAAACATCAACATGACAAAAATATAATTATTAATGGCAATATCATTATTTCTACAACTCCCACATGGTAGAAGTACCGGCCGCAGGGGAAACAAGYATACCTCACCGTTGCGTGTGAACTCAGTGAAGGCCCGACGGAATCGTGCAGATGTGGGTTTTAAAAGCTATCGATGTATTGTTTTTTTATAGGCTTATTCTAGGACCCAAAATTGCCTCAAATCGCTTAAAATCGCTAACAATYACACAAAATCGCCTAAAATTTCAGTAACAGTTAAAAAAGTATTTAAAGGTCTAGAAATCAAAAGTTTATTTAAGGTAAGATTGTGATTGTTATACTTATCATATCTCCTTAGTTGAATCATTCAGCCCATCAAAATCACTGAAAGTCGCTTACAGTCGCCCAAAATCRCTGTGCTTTTATAACAATTTTTGCCAAAATCGCCTAAAATCGCACAAAGTCGCTCTTGAAATGTTACAGCGATTTTGGGTCCAGGAGTAGGCCTTAAGTTCAAATGAATACAGTTTTAGCTTTTATGGCAAAAAGGCTGAATACCTCTCGTTAATTGACGCAGATATATCTTAAGTGTACTTTTTTGTGAGTGTTCGAAACAATGCGTTTTTCACACATATCAACTGAAGATATACGAAAGCTTTTAACCAATTGTCATCGAAAATGCCCTCAATTTCATAGTGCCACTACTGCTGTTTCGTCTCTGTTAAAGTGAGATATCGAAGTATATGGAGAGACTGTTGTCTATTAGTTGCTCAATAAGCAAAAAAAATTAACATGCTTACTTTTGAAACATTGTATTTCTTAGTCACACTTTGGTTTCATTATGATTTTGATCGGAAATAAGGAACAGAATAACTTAAGTTTAAACATTAAAAATGCAAGAGATGTTTCTTCTTGTCTTTAACAGTTATTTTCAGAATTTGAATGACAGAAAATCAATYAAACACGCTTATTATTATTCCTGTGAAGTCGCAATGTAAAAGTTTAAACTTAACTATGACAATTTGGTTCTTATCATTATAATTGGTACAGATAACATCACGTGGTGTATGTGACGTTGCACGCATATGTTCGTATTTATAGTTTAATAAGCAAGCAGGACCGGAGTCGTTAGCAAGMAGTAGTGAAGTCTTTTACCAGGTAAACATGGTACCTTTATCCTTTCATCATTTTTCCTGTAATCTAGCTAAATTAACATAAATTAATAATGAGTACACAATATTTGAAATTAAAAAGCTTTATACAATCGTGCATTGTATACGTCCTATTTCAAAARAGGTTGTCGAACTAAAAATGGCGAATGTCAATCTTGTCGAACGGCGATTGCACGACTGTAAGTAGCCAAGAGTTTTGCTAATTGATGAGAAATAACAACTGATTTACACTGCAAGATACTTAGTCTGTGGTAAACTTTATGAATTGGTTCCATTTAGTTCCACGCAATCCCGCCTCTCTTCGACAATCGCCATTCGCTGTTCAACCCGACAACGTTTTTTTAAATAGGTGTATAAACTGTGATAAACGTTCATCGTTATGTTGTTAGCTTATAACGACTGTATCTATCTTCAATGATAAATTAGCAAACGCGCTCTTTCAGAAAGCTTTTTATCTTGTTTATTGTTTTTTTCTGAAAATTGAATTGTGCCGGAAGTTTAATCCTTTTCTGTTAAGTTCAAAAATGACTCACAGTAGCAAGCGACTCAAACTGATCGTTTTCCTTAAATTTTATGTAGTCATCCTGGAAATCAGTACATATATATAGTATACATTATAAACTAAAAGATCTGTTTTGAYATATAGCATCTTTTCAAAAGTGCCATTTTTATTAGTCTGACGAAGTTTCTAAGTTATTTTTATTTTTGTTTTAATTCGGTATCTATAAAAATGTATTATCATTAAGGCCGACTAAAACTTATAGTCATGACAAGAACATGACCGAGATGCCCGAGTAATATAAATCAAACCAAGCATTGCATGTATGTTCTGTTGACAGACGAAATGACACAGGAGTCATGATATTGTCACTTTTTCAGATAAATATAGAAAACTTTATACAGAATTCAATATTTATCCGAAGTTTTTTAATGATTCTGTTATTGCTATAGAAATGAAGTTGCAACACTGAAATAAACGAAGGAAAGAAATGGATAAAAGAAATTGTTATAAATCAAATGTAAAAAGAAACTTAACCCCTTGATATAGCCGACGTTATGTCACAACATCTCKATCTCGGATTTTAAAACAGCGATCTCGGCGTCTCGACGGATCTCGGATTTTACCATTCGCCACCCCTAATAGCGCTACGCACTCTGGGAAATATTTCGATTGTTATAGAGAGGTGCCGGCATGAGGGCCACTTTGAGAGATCACGCTAGACTCCGCTAGGCTAATGTGTTGTGTTATAGAGTCGGAATGTTTTTATGCAGGTAAAAACCAATAGAGAGCACAAGTAGATTAATGTTTTGTTATCTTTTGCGCGTAAATTTGAAAACGTTTGAGTTATTAGTCGTTGTCGTGTGGGTGAAAGTTGGAATTGAAGAAGGGATTCGACTCTAGAAGAAATTCTGTAAGTACCACAATTGAATTACATTGRGCTGACAAATGCAATATCATGCTACTCGACTTCATAACTTAATATGCTATTCCTTAGTTCGATTGCTCGTCTTATTAGTGCTATTTGATTTGAAAGTTAAAACTGTTGCCATTATAGTCACAGAGGCGGTTCGCTTTKCTAAGCTACAAAATGACTTATTAATTTACCCGTCCTTTTTCTTGTCAATCACATCAAATTCCACTTTCATGTCCTAAAAACAGTACAGAATGATATTCAATAAAATTAATGTTTTAATTGTACCTGCTGTAATAATTACGAATAAATTTTAGAAATCGTAGAAAATACCTAATTGCATTTGTGTGCTTCTTTATTTTGACAAGGAATAATTAGATTGTCATATTCATTTGTCAGCATTAAAGCGCTCAACTAGTTTGTATTCCTTATTGTTTTTCAAGAATAACTCAAACGACAAACTCAAAAMGTGTTGGCATTTCCACTAGCGTTTTGATTGACGCGAGAAATAAATATTTCCATGGGGTTTTGTTTTGTTTTTCTCTCTTCTGGTTCTGTTGTTTACCTCCAACATTTGTGCACCTGCTTTTAGTTTCATTTCCGTTGTGTCCCTATTTGATCAAACAACACTTTGGTTAGCTTTGCTGAGTACTCGAGAAGGTAAATTAGTAACGAATCGAATGTCAGTTTTTCAAATGGACCAAGATTTTTCCGTCTCAGGAAACAGGGAGATAACGACAGTGATTTTTTATTCAAATTTCAAGGCTCGTAAAAACACTCAATGATACTATCACATTGTGGCTAGTAGCTAGATAAAAGTGATGGATGTAAATCCAAGCTCCTTAGTTCTGCGTACGTAGTTTCTGGAATGAAATTCTAATGAAAGACTGCATGCTCATTTCAATCGATGAATCATGTTAAATGTATATTGAAGTAATATATAAAATATCAGTTTAAAAGGAATTTCGAATTTGCACGATACTTARAATAAATCCAAACTTWACAGAAATTTTGAGCCAGAAAATTTAAGCAAAATTTTCATAACGTAGAAATGGCASCCAATCTGTCAATTTCTCACAGTGAAAAACAAGTACTTTTTTCATTGTCCTCCCCTGGGAAATTGAAACGCGTTGGCGAAGTTTCAGACAGGCGGCAGTTCAGCAATTACAAATGTTTTTTGCCCAGAGGGTAAAGAAGCTTTCTGAAAATAATGTGARAAAATAACAGAAACATTTGCGTGGAAGATCACTGAAAATAGGTATGCACTTGGCAGAAACTTCCCGCTTGCTTCCAGACTGATTCCAACAAGAATCTCCTCTTGACACATATTTCTTATCTCACTCAATCTATATTTTCAAATAAAAAATCAACAAACAAATCTCTGGTTGTTTGGAAAACAAATACATACGTGAGAGCTCGTATCGTCTGATCTTGCTGTCTTTTTTGTCGTTGCAGTTCCTTTAAAAAAGGTGAATTTATTTTCGTTATTAATACTCATTATTGCGGCAGGATATGAGAAAAGTTACAAAAGAGAAGCAGTTGAACATGTTGAATTAAATCCGGTCCCGCAGTTCAAACCATCAGTTTACTGTGGCAAAATACATAAAAATGACGCTAACTTCCGTCGGCCATTTTGAATATTCACAATGAAGTGGGATGTGCATGCTGAACTTTACATAGATATTAGATGTTTGAATGGGTACTTGCCTCGTTCTCTTGACGAGCGTCGACTATTTTTTCTCGGAGAAGCGTACATTTTCTRTTCGAAAAGACAATAATTACATTATTGTATTATGACAATAAATCTGTCTAATTAATTATACCTTTGACATTTTGAAGTTTKTGTTTGTGTATTTGTCTGTTTTACTGTGTTTGGAGGTTGGCTTTCTTCAAAATGTACCGGAGCACACGGATTAAGTAGTTTAATAGGGGGAAAACATAAAAAGATATCAGAGGATTTCAACTGTTCAATGCCCAAAAATACAAAGAAAACTAACCGGAATTAAAAACAATATTTTATATTCCGGAACACAAGAGATGTCCGGAGTTTGAATACGAGCATAGGTGATCGTTGTATCTCACTGCTATCTCATCGATCCTGGATCTCACTGGTTKGGCTATGAATTATTGAGGTATTTCAAAATGGCGGATGATCTCCAACGTGAAACTACTCATTCAAAAATATCACTTTAATCAGATATATACAATATATCTAGACTGGATATCTTTGGACCTAGGAGTTTTCAGATAATCACAACGGACCGTCGAATACTGATTGAGATATTCTGTTTGCAGTGTCACCGGCAGCTGTGTGTTGACAAGTTCCTGCGAGCCATAGCGGAGAAAACTATCTTTAGTTGTTTGCTAAAGTAATTAAGGTAAAAACGCTTTATTTCATGTATTATTAGCTAAAATTATCAAATAGACGCTTTCACGAGGGAATGTAAGTMAGAGTTTGTAGTGCAGAGCTCACCAAGGAGCTCCAAGGACTTTTTGAAGTGTGTTTTCCAATAACTTGATGACTCATCAGCCAGTTCTCATCAAACACAGCTTTAAAACAAGCGAATAGCGAGGACTGTAGACACGAGTCAGTTTTGAATTACAGGATCGGTTTTCGAGGATGATACTACTAACAATTTGTGTATGTTTTTACTCACAACGAAGAATGGTACGTTCTTCTGGTAAATGTACCACGGACTAAACCAAACGTACACTATTAATTGCCACGGCCCTGGTTCTAGCAAAATGACGGCCATTTTTCCAACTTAAAAAGCCGCGGAGAAATCTCAAAAGTGAAGTCATGATCAGCCTTAAATAGCTTGCATTTTTCCTTTTMAAAATTAACTTCGTAGTTTACATTTCCTATTTTTTAATTAATCAAAGACCCATGCAAGACTGCACGTTTTGGACCTCTCCATTTTCATATTTTTACCAGTTTCAGCTAAAGAACAAAAGAATAGGTCGATTCCATTACCTTAATGGACGTTAATTACAACGTGTGTAACCGCTTTTSATCGAACAGAAATTTAATTTAACAAACAATAAATGTTTAACGGCAAAAAACAAAAACAAAAAAACATGGCATTAAAATTGCGAACAAAAAGGAAAAGATCAAACAAACCTGTCGGCATTTCCTTTAATCTCTTTAATTTGATCTT